CACACACACACACACACACACACACACACACACACACACACATAAACCAGCTGCTTCCTGCTCTTCCTCCTTCTCTCAGCATCATCTCCAACACATCTCTGCATAAGTCATCCAGCAGGCTCCCCATCTGAAGTCAGCAGAGAAATATTAGATATCAGCTATTTATAGACTGGGTGCGCGAGAGAGAATTAATGCTAGCTCTCACACACAGACACACACACAGACACACACACACATTTAAATCTCTAATCAATAGCGGCCTCTGTCTCTGTCAGGAGCGCAGAGCTGGAAACTTGAGAGTGTGTGGAATCTCATTTTTCAAGGCTTCACAGTGATTTTATCAGTAAATGGAAGCTGATTCCACTTGTTTACAACTGTGTGTGCACAAACACACAACCACTGTTGGTTTGTTATACACACTTCTAATATTTTACATTGATTCTTTCAATAAGTACTAAATATTTACTTAGTACCACCAGGTATACACCGAGTAAGTGTCTGGTAAGTACCTGGGGTGTACACAATAAATACTAGGTACTAACCTGTTTCATACCAGGTCCATATTCATTAAGTATGGACTAAAGTAACAGGTAAGTAACAAGTAAGAAAGTACTAGAAACAGGTAGGTACATGGTGCATACCCAACAAAGACCCAGTAAATTATGTACCAAGTAAATAACAGGCACTGGTCCAGTTAGGTACCCTGTATGTACCAGGTATAATATACCCATTAAAAACCTGGTGAATACCTGCTACTACAGGTAGGATAAAAACCTGATAAGTAATCAACATACCCAGTAAGAGCCTGGTACATACCCTACGGGTAACAAACAGGTACACATTTATGTATACCTGGTACTTAATGGGTATACAAGGTACAGTATGTACCCAGTAAGTACCAGGTGCATGCCCTTTAGGTACCCAGTAAGTATCATGAAGCTGAAAGCTCTATTATGGATTACTGCCCAGTATTTCTGTATTTTGTTGGCTTTTATTTTGGAAATCTGTCACTATTTTGTTTTCAAATTTTACTTTGTGTGATTTACAAAAATCAGACTGAATACTTTTAATTTCTTCTAACATGTTAGAGCTAATATTTTGAGGTGATTTTTAAGGAATGTAATAATTTTGTATTTTTTAAAGTTTTAATGTTGACAAACAGCCCTGACTGACTGGGCCTGTTTGCTCTTTTTAAAAAAAAAAAAAAAAAAAGGGCTCATTTGTTTGTTTTTGTTGTTTGTTTTTGTTGTCATTTCCTCCTCCGGTACCTGACAGGTGTTTGAGGAGCCTCGGGTGTAAATTGTAGTGAGTTGTTGTTGTGAAGCGATGACAGGATGGTTGTGTTTGTTTTCCCTGCGCTCAGGTGAGGATCAGCCCGCTGCTTCCTGGCTGCTCGTCCCGGTGTGTTTGGAGAAAAAACGGCTCAGAGGGGATTAAACCCCCGCTCTGGTTGTTATAATAATCATATCTGTTCACGTACTCACCGAACCTCCTGTCAGCAGCCGCGGGGAAGCAGCTGAGGGACGAGATGAGGAGGAGGAGGAGGAGGACGGAGGAGGAGGAGGAAGGCAAAGGATCCATTTTCCCCTCAGAGTTCGCGCTTCTCTCGCGGGTTAGAGAACCATGTCTTCCAGCGGGACTCGCTTCGTTTTCCTGCCCGGTCAGAGCGGCCCCTCCTCGGCTGTAGAGGCGGAGGAGACCCGGGGAAGGATGTCGGAGGAGAGGAGAGAGGATGCAGGGCGTTCCTGCTGCTGCTGGAGGCTCGAGCTCACAGCATCATGACACGAGCGCTCACGCGTACGCGCAGCATTTCCGGTGGATGCTTTTCAAAATAAAATTCCCAACTAGAATGTTCTGACAAATTAACAGACAGGGTTCAAAATCCCGGCCCGGGGTGGCGGTGAGTTTGCATGTTCTCTCCGTGCATGCGTGGGTTTTCTCCGGCTTCCTCCCACAGACCAAAACAGGTTAATTAAAACTAAATTGTCCCCAGGTGTGAGTGAGTGACCTGTCCAGGGTGACCCCCGCCCCTCACACCGTCACTGCTGGATGTGGGCACCAGTGACCCACGCGACCCTGAAAGGAAGAAGCGTGTACAGAAAATGGATGGYTGGATAAAAYCAATATTTTTAAATCTTCATTTATTTTATTTTTTGGTTTTCATGCCAATACCGAGTACCGATACGAGTATTTACTGAGTTTGAACTTAAACATTACACAGTGATTATAAAAACAAATTTTAACAATTAGAATCTGTCACTAAATCAGATCAGATTTTTGTCAAAAGGATTCTCAGTTGAAGCCAGTGGCTGGCCRTGCCATTACAATAAAATAGATAGACAGAGTATTGCTTTGCCAACACAGTTATACAGAGGAAAACACAAGTGTTTTAAACTATAAACCAGCTTTTGTTGTCTTAAAGGTGRTTTAAACAAATATTCTTCATATTTATTTACTTTATTATATATCAAGGCCTTAAAGAATTAATAAAAGGTCAGTTTAAGACAGTGTTTGAACTTGTCTGGTCAAAAAAATATACTGTAAATCAACCTAAAATCTTTTCTCCTGTTTCTTACTTGTTGAGGAAAATCCCAGCAGAGGGCAGCAGCAGCATTTCCTAAACCTTATTTAACATTTTACAATTTTCTCTTATCTTCTCAACTTTGGAAACATTTGTTCCTGACAAAATCACACCTAAAAACTTGTATTTGAAGCAAAACATAAAGGTTGGGCTTTCTTCTTTGGCCTTCAGACTCTGTAGATCTGCAAAACTTCTTTGTGATTCTGAAACATCAGGAGCTGCCAGGAAAAAAAAATACATTTGTTTTCTGAATATGTTCAAACATGTTGTTTAGTATAGGTCTTCTTATAGGTTTAACTGACAGAATCAACCTAAAATGAAAAAAGAACAAGTTTACAAAAGCAGAATCTTGATTTTTTTATATATGTACAATTGATTACTTTGACCTACGATTGGTTTTTTATTGTTATTTTATTTTATTATTATTTCACAAAGA